GTGACCAGAGGGTCGAGAGGGGCGAGCCGGAGGCTCCCCCATCTCTTCCCTCGGCAAGCGGCCATGGACTTTGGAAGAGACAAATCTCCTCGGTGCTTTACTTGCCACTTCTCCCGATGGCAAATTACCCCGAGGAATCATATCTTCCTATACTTTGTATGTGCACAAATGGTTGGTTATATATTCCGACAGGTGTCCTCCACATTCGTGGGGATTGACCACAGCGGTGTGAGCGTCAGATCGAGGGTTAAGTATGTGGCGTTACTTGCCGTTGTACCGGCGGTATTCGAGCCTGTTTGGTCAGGCTCCCGAAGGTTTCGGAGTTGACGTTCGTGCGCGTGGTTTCAAGGAAAAATGGAGCCGTGGCAGGTACAGTAGTGATGCACACGACCCTGTGGATGAAGGCTGATGTTGTTGCGTGTGTTGTACCTACCCAAGTAATTGTTACACCGAAGGATACTCACGCCCAACCGACTGTCTGACAACCGATTGTCTAACCCCCTTTGCCTCTTCCCCCACAAACGCCGGAACGCTATGGATTTCCGCCGCCTTGCTGGTGTGCCCCGCCCTTCTATCACAGGTGTTCACTGACGTGGAATCGAAGGTGGCCAAGCACTCTGCAGAAGTACTGGCCACTCTCGCCACCCTCTAGACATGGAATTGAACATCTTCTTTCATGCTCGAAGTTTAAGCGAGTTTCCTTTGGTATCGAAGTTATTGTGTATTTAGGCTGTTGACAAACAGGCCAAATGCATCGAGGCAACGCACCACAGTACGGAATGCGTACATATAAAGTGTTAACACGCAAGGAAAGGGGTAGAACGGCTGCAAACATCATCGGCTATAGACTTGGGGCTTGCACCCGAACGGTTTGGACGTTGCTTTAGAGATTAACCGACAATCTTGTTTTCTGTACCACGCGGCCATCGTTTCCGAGTTGTTGGACGGAAGGTTTGGCAGCTGTGCGCTTGGGATACCTAGGCCCGAAGTTACACGCAAGTTGTCGATATCGATCGTCTACCGGATGGTGTACGGCCGAGTTCCGAGGACGGGGGCAATGTAATATTCGAAGCTCTGGCGTCGCGCCCAGATGGTGTTGTTGCTGAAGCAGCGATGTTTGTCTTGTTGATGCGAACCAACGTGTTTCGTGTCTCTACCAAATTCGAACACGAGAAAAAAGGAGTGAGAGGTAAGGTTGGCAAGCTTTCGGTGCCGAAGTGCTTTTTGTTTGTTTGCGACGCCTGTGATCGACGTCGAAAAGCTGCCGAAGCTGGCAACATCCCAACGGTGTTTTCATGTCGTGTACGGAGAATCCAAGCAACCGATGGTGTTGCATGTACCGAGTCGTCCGTGCCAGTGGCGGTCATCCCGTCGTACCCATTCATTCATGATGAAGATATCACGTTGCCATACTTCGTTGCTGAAGTCTACCATGTGGTTGTGGCCGTAAGTCAACGGGACGCTCTCGCTACCCCGTTACAATATTTGGTCAAATGCATACCATTTTCTCTTGTCTACTATGGCTGCTTGTGTTACTACAATAGCTACCCAGCACCACCTCATTCTTTCGCGCTAGTCCAACCGGTGATAAACAGTTGTGGTCGCCACAGCCTATCACCAAGATAAGGACACCAGGCGGGGCTGTCACACCCAAGTGCATTTTACAGGAAGATGTCCTCGAAAACATATAAGCACCTCCGGATTTCAGGCGTTTTAGTGACCAATACGATGCTGGTTGATCCTCGACCTTCTTGCCGAAGTAAATGACACGAAATCCAGATAGGAAAAGCAGAATGAAGGGCTCATCCTGACTCAAACGCCGAGAGAGGATGTCTCGTGTTCGCATCCCAACAATAAAACCTCGACACAGTTCTTATTTACATCGCATATTTACATGTCACACACATGTTTGCAGTGCGAAAACCAAGAAAGCTCCTGCGTGACCCCGGCTGATACGTCACAAACATGTATACCTCGAGTTATGTAATGCGACGAACACACACATACGTGGTCTAGTCTAGTTAGACCTAGTCCTTTTGCCCGCACATCCTATCACAGCATCAAGGCTACACGCAAGCCCAAACAGACAAGGACGGTGTGACAACGTCGAATACACGTGTTGAGCAAAATACATGCTGCGCAACGGGGGGAAACAAACTACCGGTGGCTCCACAAGTCCCCTCTCTTCATACACGCCGTTCTCGGCGAATCTACCCGTTCTGGAAGAGTCAACAAAGGCTATGCTGATGCGAGCAGTGGGGAAGAACACGAAGTGGCTTGAGAACGTGTGGCACAGGGGGACAGGCACGATACAATGGAGATGGTCAGGACGAGGTTCAATCATTGGGGAGAGACGGACTAAACCTGGAGGTGCTGTCGCCCGGGGGTTAAAAGCTTCATTCTCCGAGGGCACTCCAAGTCTCTTGTAGAGTCCTGCTAGAACTTCCCTTTTTCACTTCCCACTACTGACTAGTCCACCGTTCACACCTCGCACAGTTGCTACCCCTATATCCCCCCCTTGCGCGGTCTTCTTTAACATTCCACTAGTCCCTTCCCACATCTGCTCGACGTTCCCCTCCAGGCCTCCGTTGGCCTTCTGCACTACTTCGTCCCAAATGCACTTTTTGTTCCTTTTCACTAGACTAGACTAGTCCCTTCACTTGTTTTTCTCTTGGCCCTGTACTTTTTCCAACTCTCCCAAGACGCCTCACTCAGGTACTGCTTGAAAGCTGTTCTACGTTCCCCTATTTCTTCTTTCAGCTCGTCATCCCACCACTTAACCGATACCCCACATCCTACAACCTTATTTCCCACTGCTCTATCCGCCGTTATGTTCACTATGGACTCCCACCCTTCAATCACCCTGTCCCCTGCTGCCTGTACGTCTACCTGTCCATCCTCGACGCTTCTCAGCAGTTTCCTGGAGGGTTCTACACTACATGCCAGTCAGTCCCTTCTGGAATTCATCCCGTGTCCCCTCGTCTTCCAAACGCTCTACTTTTCACCGGAACTCTTTCCTCTGTTTCTTACTCTCCATCTTTATAGATCGGTCGATGTTTGCCCATATGAGGAAGTGGTCGGTCGAACCTATATCGATCGCACTTACGTGCAGCTCTGAGATCTGTGTCCCCCTATCTACCAGGATGTAGTCAAGATTGAGTATTCACTACAAACTGCCCGTTGCCTGGTGAACTCCGGCTTATC